ATATCAAACATATACAGGGTAGGACACGAGAAACTTCCCATCCAGGTTTTCTCAGTGTTAGGTGATTAATTAAAAATCGCTCGAACACGTCAATTTTTGTTTTTTGGGGGACACATTTTATTGGTACTTTCACCCCCTACCTGTCAACCCCTAAGTGGGGGTGACAGGTACCCCCAAAATTTCGAATGAAAAGGGGGGTCGAGTGATACGTCATTTGATAGCTATTTTCATTAAGATTATATCCCCGAAGTTTTAAGTTGCTACTATTTACCCTGTCGAAATGGCGGCTTGTCAAAGTTAGGAAAAATCAATGGAAAAATGCTGTGCTGTGTGGTTTTTACCTTTTACCCACGCATAGGGGTGACAGGTAAAAACTATATAGTTTAGATTATCGAAAAAAAGCATTTATCCTAACTTTGACATGCCGCCATTTCGGCCGGGTAAATAGTAGCAACTTAAAACTTCGGGAATATAATTTTAATGAAAATAGCTACCAAATGACATATCACTCTTACCATTTGAACAAACAGACCTCGCCAGAAGGCCTCTTAATCTGGGTTCCGCTTGCTCATTCCGTGCACTTCGAGTGACTCCGCTCACATTCCAGCCGTTATCAAATACGTCAAAAAGCAATACCGGAACGGCCATGGTGCGAACGGAGTCACTCGGAGTGCACGGAGTAAGCAATCCGACCCCGGCTTTAGTAGAAATTTAATTTTGATCCTTTTGCTTTCACGTGCTCCGCTCCAAGAAAAAGACCGAGTGCCCATTCGAATGAAAATCGTTATAGGAAGTTTTGCTAGGAATCGTAAGGTAGCAGCGCATTTTGTAGATTTTAGGTATAAGAAAATTATAGCCGCAAAATCAAATTCTTAAATTTGATAGAGATGAAACAGTACAAGTTTTTTATGTTCTATGCATAAAATCTGAAACTGGAAGCTCAGGATTCGAATTTGCAATAACGACAAAAATTTTCACTGGGGGGTTAGAAGACTGTAGGTCATTCCTGGTAATGGAGCAAAACTCGCCGATAATGGAGCAAAACGAAGCAAAACTTGGAGAACAAAATGAACATGTTCAAATTTCAAAATTTTCACTGGGGGGGGACGGGACTGGGAGAGATTTTTGGGAGCTCTGTAGGTCATTCCTGGTAATGGAGCAAAACTCGCCGATAGTGGAGCAAAATGGAGCAAAACTCGGAGAACAAAATGAGCATGATCAAATTTCTGAATTTTCAGTGGGAGGGGGGGCGGGGGGGGGGGCTGGGAGAGATTCTTGGGAGCTGTAGGTCTCTTCTGGTAATGGAGCAAAACTCGCCGATAATGGAGCAAAACTCGGAGAACAAAATGAGCATGATCAAATTTTTGAATTGTCACTGGGGGGGGGGGGGGGGGGGGTACGGTTAATTCAGCCCCCCCCCCCACCTAATAGGCCACATAGTCTCTCCACTGTAATGGAGCAAAAATCGAAATTAGTGGAACAAAATGGAGCAAAATAGGAGCAAAATTATGTGATAATTTTCAACCAGAAATTTTCTATGGGGGGAGGGCTAACTTAACTGACCCAGAAAAGTTCTCCGGAAAGTAAAATCAGAAACGAGAAAAAGCTGCTGATAGTGGTGTTCCTACCCAAATCAGGGAGGATGGACTTCACCACCCCCAAGGCATATCGCCCTATAAGCGTTTCATCATTTTCTCTAAAAACAATGAAGAGGCTATGCGTAAGGTACATACGGGATGAAGTGCTGTCAACCAATCCATTCCACCCTAATCAACATGCATATACCCTCGGAAGATCAACAGATACAGCCCTCCACCTGGTTGCTGAGCGAGTGGAAAAATCGCTAGACAACACAGAGTCTGTCCTCGGGGTTTTCATCGACATTGAGGGGGCCTTTGACAAAACCACCATTCAAAAAAGTAGCCACTCCGGAAACTGTTACCGGGTGGATATTCAATATGATTTACATTATCTACTATTGATGAGCCAATTAAGAAATTAGAGCTTCTGGAACCACACTTGATGCATGTTTGAGCAAAAACAAGCTTTTACAGAGCTAAGAATTGCCATAAAAGGGTCCTTAACAGGAAAACTACGAGCCTCTAAGATCTGAAAACTCTCGATAACGGATTGGAGTATGATCAAGCTTTCAATAGGAATTCACATGCATTGAATTAGAGAAGAATTTATGATCAAAAAGCATCTAGAATAAAGTAAAGGAAAAGGTATTTAAGATAAAATTTTCATAAAGATAGACATTTTATCACAATTATGAAATTGTATGCAAAGATTTGAAGAGCAAATGACAAAACAATAGACCAGCAAAGACAGTCAGAGAACATTGAAAAGAAAATATAAAACTTCAAAGTAAATAAAAACCTAATGAACTATTTGCATTGGGTTAGTTTTGAAGTTTATTTGATAATCAATTTCCACAATTTATTCAAAGAAAACTAATTCACTGTGGTACTACTATTTAACACGCGTCAAAGAAGGAAAAGACAAATTTCCTTCGCACTTAGATCCTCTTGTCATGAAAGAGAAAAAAAATTAATACCATTATTTGATTGTTACACAGATTCCGGGTAAATTGTGTAAGTGCTAAGAGCGAGACAAACAGGCGCGAGCTAGAATTTTAAATACGCAACCTCGAGAAATGTGTAAGGTAAATAATACTAAATTTTGTAGGGCACCTAAATTGTATTTTTGATTTCTCATCATTATGAAATAGAGTATGTAGTACCTATCTATCAAATTTTGCGATGCCTACTTTTTCCTGTTCAAATTGCAATATTACAAGTTGAAATTATTCGTTTTCGTAAAATGCATTTTAATGCTTGCTCAAGTTAATTAATTTTTTCTGGACTTATGTATTATGATCTTTGTTAGCAGCTTATGAAAGAGAAACAGCACTTCGTATTTGACCTCTTTCCAGAAATTTGATGAATACAGTTTTCCTTGCTGCAGCTTTACAGTTGTTTTATTTACCTCGATAAGTTCCAGATCTTCTGATTTTTACAATTCATTTTCTGGTCGTAGAATTTTCCAGAAAAGTTCTTTACAGTTCTTATTTCTGATATTTTATCCTTCTTTTCGATTGAAAAACTTGAGGTTTTCTCTTCAGGTCTTCTGCTATAGCCTTATTGTCATTAACATTGTTGATACTTTTGTACCTAGATAAGTCCAACTTTCGATGAATGAGTGCAAATAGTTTCACCACTAATACCAAATTTCTTTTAGGTAAAACCTTATGAAATAGAAGCTAAAAATTACTAATATTTTGTTTACTAGTCGTGTTTGGTGAGTCAGAGCTAAGCTATGTCGCTTTGTATATGACGGTCTATGCTAATAAAAATACACTTAAAATAAATGATTCAAAGGACGACTACGTAATTATAATATACTATAATAATTGTTATTAATTTCCACTTTAGTCCGGGAGATTGGGCTCGAAAATTCTACAAGTTAGTAGCAATAATTTGAAACCCAGACTATTACAGCTTAGGTTGTTTAAAAAAAAAAGACTATTGATAGAATATTTGCAGTGACATCATGCGCACAGTCAGAAAATTTATGAGGCTGATGTTTTTGCGTATATTGGGAATTTTCCGAGAAACAAATAAAATTAATTTTGGTCATAGAGGATTATTTTTAGTTGTGAAATGACCGGTGTCTGTGGCTACTAGCAAAGACTTTAAAATGAAGATTCCTGGTGCATTATTTGGTTACTTCTATACTTGAATACTCCTCTACTAAAGTTAGGGTACATTCAACCAAACCAAAATATTTCAATTTTTTCCACTTATTGGCCTAGTGCGTGAAAATTATGCTCTATTTAAGAATATAACAATTCTGAGAATGTTTCTGGGTCATTTTTATCAATAGTGCTACTGCAAATGAGTATAATCAATTGCTTCTTATTTTCAGAGCTTAAAATTTCTTTCTTTGATGTTAGAGGTGTTGTATATGTGAGTACGCGAACTCTGGTTACTCCTGTAGATCTACTTGATTGTTGTACTCATTGTACCGATCGAAAAGAAGGTACACATTTCCATGCTGCAAATGTATGCTTATAGATGCTTCCACTGTCTTTATGAAATTATCTACAGTCCCCTTTTCTGGCCACTGTATACACCATAGGAGTGCGGACCCATCAATAACAATAACTGTTCTTAACACAATTGTTTCCTGTTGAAGAAACCTGGAGGTGTCTCTTTAAGATCGATTTAGATTTGCAGATCCTCGTATGTCCAGAATCTGTAGACATTGAGGTAGGTACAGGTGGAAGTTCATGGGAGAGAATTTTACTCATATCTACTTGTGGAGCTTGCCTGGAATCCTATAACTCCGGAGTAAATAATACCAGTATTGAACACCTTTGCACTGCCAACTTTGCTGTACATCCGGTTACAACTAATTTGGGTATAGTCAAGTTGAAAACGGCCAACCTTCTTCAAATTTTTTCATTTGTTCAGTTATGTTAACAGCGTCGTGTAAATTAGTAGTATTTGGTAGCACCATGCTATGTTTACTATATTATCTGAGTGGGTACCGTGAGCCATTGGGTCAATGAGGAACCCTACGTAATTCTATCAAGACGAGAAATCTTGACATGACTTGAAATTGAAGATCAAGAAACTGAACATGGGTTCTTGAAAGCTGAATTTCTTGAATAAATCTAAAATACTGCTTCTAGAAATATTGTAATTTCCTATTACACCTTGTATTTGTAGTACTTTTAATAATTTAGTAAATTAAGTTCTATACCAACTTACTCTATAATTGGATGTATTTTTGTAGAGTTTGTAAATAAATAATAAATAATTCATGGTTTGTGATTTCTCAATATTTGAAGTTTACATTCCGTTTTCGCTTATTCTCAAGCTCAAACCCGAAATTCGGCATATTTCAATGTTCAATTTCTAAATTCAATTATTTTTCTGTAATGGGGTTTTTGACGTTTAAAAAGAGTGCAATTTACTCAACTGAAAAATTCTTACCTGGTATTAGCTTCTGGTATAATATCATCAACAACTACATAGATCATGGCACCGGCAGCAAAAGACAAGGCGTAAGGCAATGCAGGTTCTGCAAAACTCACAGCTACAGCGCCCAATACTCCGAAAATCGGTTCAACCATTCCGCTGAGCTGTCCGTACCTGTAACAATGAGATTTTTCTTATTCCGAGTACAATGGAGATAAAATTATCAGGTGTAGGAATGCAAAACATTCAGGCGGTAAAAAGGTTAAGGGATCGTTGAATTCGAGCGAAGACGCCCGACAAAATGCTAAGAATTCTTCGTTGATTGATTATTTTACAAATTGAATACAAAATCTGCTATGTTAGCACTCTAAGGTCTAAGGGAAAAGGCATTAATCAAGAAAAATACGCCACTGTTTACAAACATAGCGCCAGATTCTGTACAGCATTGCTATAACCCAAACTAATTTTGTAAACGTAACTTGGTAACTAACCCAAACTAATTTTGTAAACGTAACTTGGTCTATATTCTCACTGTACAAAACATATTTTAAAAAAATCAATAATAGATTGTTATTACTAATTTCCCAATCAATTAAAACAATAGCTCTGTTGTTGTTGTGCGGCTGTCAATTATTATTATTACCCAAGATTGGAAAAAGCCGCAAGTGAATATATGATCAATTACTACAACAAGTGCGGTTTTGTTGAAAGTTGACATTTCAAAAAAGGAACGAGAAACGACCTTGCAGGGTCGTGAGCAGGTGAATAATACGGAATAATTGTAAAAATCTGTGCAAATACCTTAAAGGTGAGGTTTTGCCCCGGCCCCCGATCACCGGCCTTGACGATTGGAATGGTTATAATTATTTCATAGTTGGATTCTAGGAGGGCAGGTTGGCGTCTAATAAAACGCGATTGGCGGTCTATTAAAGTGCATATTATTTTGGTAATTGTTGTCAATTAGCTTGCTATTAGTATTTAAAAGGTTATTAACTTAAAAGTCCATTATTCACGAGGCGGAGCCTCGGAGCCATCATACTTGATACATTGTAATTGAACACTTGCAAAGCAGAGTAGTACGAAATACAAGCTAGAAAGAAGATTGATTGAACATTAAGTCAAGAGAAACTGAATAAAAGAACATCTAAATATCACTACAGTCAAGTAAAATCTGTTTTTTTTTAAAGATAATTCCCCAAGTCAAAAATTTAGTAACTATGTTGGCAACACAAGCCTTTTCTACATGAAAAATTTGATAGCATTGACAATTTTACATTGTATTGCCAACCTAATGTCAGTTTGACTTTTATCTTTAAAAAAAAAACGCACTTTACAATGTGGTCATTAGATGAAAATGACACGAAAATGACAGTTTTTCGTTCAAAGGTCAGTTGGTCGTTAGAAAAATATTAGGATAAGTGTTCGTTTAGCCACGCCTGCTCTAGTAGTATCAATAGTCACAACCATATCTGTCAGATTTTAGTAACGTCAACAAAGTGAGGTTATCGATATAGCAATGTTGTTGTAATCTTCATGGTAGAATGTTTTGTTATTAATATAATCTTTAGTTTATTTCCAATAGTAAAACTTTATTCTGGCTTAATTCCACAAAATAACTCTAACAGGTTATGGGCCCAGATATGCCAAAAGTCAGTGTGTAAATTAAAAGTTTTGTTTTGTGTTAACACTCAAAAGAAAATGGCAAGCAGTTCATCATCATTTGTGTCGATTGATAAATTGACTGGTCGGGACAATTATAGCGAGTGGAAGTTCGCTATGAAGGCACTTTTAGAATTAGATGACTTGTGGAAAGATGTCGAAGGTACCGAAGTGGATGAGAAGAAAGAAAAGAAAGCACTTTCTAAAATAATCTTGTTTGTGGATAAGTTAAATTATTCCCATTTGAAGACTGCTGCAAAAGCTAAAGATGCTTGGCAAAACTTAGAAAAAGCTTTTGAAGATTCAGGACTAACAAGAAAGGTTGGTCTTTTAAGGGCTTTAGTAACTACCAAGTTAGAAGACTGTAGTTCAGTAGAAGAATATTGTGACACCAACATTTCAACATCACATAAGTTAAATACAATGAATTTCAAAGTGGACGATGAGTGGGTCGGCACTCTCTTGCTGGCAGGGTTGCCGGAAGAATACAGGCCAATGATAATGGGTCTTGAGAGTAGTGAAACACAGATTACAGGTGATTCAATTAAAGTGAAGTTGCTGCAAGATGTGAAATCAAGTTCTAATCCAAAATCAGCTGGCTCGAATGCAGCAATGTACTCAGAAGGAGGTTCAGGTGAAAAGTTCACAAGAAACAAAGTGAAGTGCTTCGGATGTGGCAAAATGGGTCACTATAAGTCTCAATGTAGAGCAGGCAACTCACAAGGTAATCAGGGTGAAAGAAACAAAAGTAACAACATAGTTTTTCTAGCATGTTTATCTTCACAGCAAGTAAACAGTGATGCATGGTTCTTAGACTCTTGTGCCTCTGTCCATTTGACTAAAAATAATGACTGGTTAATGAATTCTACCAAAAACAGTGGCAAAATTAAGACTGCAAGTAATAGTGACATAAACATTGTATCGAAAGGAACAGTGGACATCAGTGTGAAAATAAATGGTCAAGATAAGGTGGTTCCTGCAAATGAGGTTATGTATGCTCCTGAAGCAGCAGTAAATTTGTTGTCGATCAGTAAAATTGTGCGAAAAGGGCACAAGGTCATTTTTGACAAGTCTGGAGCAAGGATTATTGACATGTCGAACTAAGTTGTTGCCAACAAATGGTATTTATCAGTTAAGTACCAATACCAATGTCTGTCAAAATGGAGGTCTACCAATGTATTCTTGTGTAAGTGAACACTCAAGTGATTTATGGCACAGAAGACTTGGCCACTTGAATAGAAAGGCAATGCAGTTGCTGGCAAGTATGTCTACTGGTTTGAACAAAATAAATATATCTTCAGAGCCGTGTATTTCCTGTGTCGAAGGCAAATATAGTCGAAAACCATTCCATTGCAGCATGAGAAAGTCAAGTAAGATTCTACAGCTGGTTCACAGTGACCTCTGTGGGCCAATGGAAGTAGCATCAATAGGCGGCTGTAAGTACATTTTCACTCTAATTGATGATTTTTCAAGATTTATATTTACATATTTTCTATCAGAAAAAAGTCAAGTAGTTGAAGTTTTTCAACAATTTAAGCAACTTGTTGAGAATCAGACTGACTCTAAAATAAAAATGCTCAGAACTGACAATGGTATACTGAATATGTGAATAAGAAATTCAAGAAGGTACTTGATGACTCTGGTATTATACACCAGACAACTGTTCCATACACTCCGCAACAAAATGGGGTTAGTGAGAGGGCGAATAGGACAATTTGTGAGAGAGCTCGTAGTATGTTGTCTGATGCTGGTTTGTCGAAAGAATATTGGAGCGAAGCAGTTAACACTGCAGTCTATCTCATAAATAGATCACCAACAAAAGCAGTACTTGGGAAAACTCCCTATGAAGTCTGGAATAACGAAAAACCCAACTTATCAGAGCTGAAAATTTTTGGTTGTGAAGCTATGGCACATGTGCCAGATGAGTTGAGGACGAAATAGGATCCTAAATCACAGAAGTTGCTTTTCATGGGTTATGGAGAAAATAAAAAAGGATACAGACTGATTAATCCAAATACTAAGAAAATTATTTTTAGTAGAGATGTTGTGTTTTTTGAAGGAAAAGAAATAGAGAAAAATGCCAAAAAAAGAAATACAGAGATAAAAGAAGACAAAACAATTGTATGGCCAGTAGAAATTAGAGAGAATGAAGAACAAAATGAAGAAAATAGTTTTGATGAAAGTTCTCAGTTTGGTTCTGTTCAAAATGAAGACAGCAGTGACTTTGAAGATGTACAAATAGAAATTAAGGAGGAGATAGCTGATGCAGAGCCTGTTCTAACAAGAACTGGTAGAGAGGTACATAAACCTCAGTATCTTCAAAATTATGAGATATATGCTACATATTTGGATGTTACAGAATCACAGGAGGATCCTCAAACATTTTCAGAAGCTCAGAAAAGTTCTGAATGACAAGATGCCATCAACCATGAATTAAAGTCTCTTAGCAATCTACAAACTTGGACTTTGTCTAAACTTCCTCAAGATAAATATGCAATTGATACAAGATGGGTCTTCCGAACAAAGGAAGATGGTACAAAGAAGGCTCGATTAGTAGCCAAGGGCTTCCAAACTGAGGAGGAGAATGATTTTACACCTATGTATGCACAAGTTGCCAGATTGTCAACGATTAGAGCATTTCTAGTACATGCTCTACAACAGAATTGGAATGTACGTCAACTTGACTTTTCTGAATGGAAAACTTGAATCTGAAGTATACATAAAAATACCAGACGGCGTAAATGAAGACAAAAACAAAGTTTTGAAGCTCAACAGAGCTCTGTATGGGCTGAAGGAGAGTCCAAAGTGTTGGAATAACCAATTTAATGAGATAATGAAAGATTTAGACTTTGAAAGATCTCACTATGATTTCTGTCTTTATAAAAAGAAAGATGTGTGGCTTATTGTTTTTGTAGATGATTTAATTATCACAGGAGACAAAAATAAAGTACAGGATGTAGTTAATAATTTGAAGAACAAACTCAATGCCAAAGATTTGAATTAGAAGATTCATTGGAATGGAGATATCAAGAACTTCTGAAAACATGAGTATCACTCAGAAAAAGTATATTAATAAAATTCTACAAGATTTTGATATGGCAGACTGTAAAGGAGTGTCAAAACCTATGATAACAGGTTTTCAAGTTGAAAAATCAGAAGAAATCATTGATGTCCCATACAGAAAGTTAGTTGCATCGCTGATGTACTTGGCATGCACTTCCAGACCGGATATTTTGTATGCGGTGTCCTATGTTAGTCGATATTTGAACAAACCAACTCAAGTGTTGTCGACTGCAGGCAAAAGAATCCTGAGGAATTTGAAAAATACTGTTGATACTGGATTGATGTATACGAGGGGTGCAGAAAACTTAGTAGCATATTCCGACTCAGATTGGGCTGGAGACAAGACTGAAAGAAAGAGTACAAGTGGCTCTATAGTACTGTATGCTGGGAATCCAATCAGCTGGTTTTCTAAGAAGCAAACATGTGTGGCGCT